GAGAGAGAGAGAGAGAGAGAGAGAGAGAGAGAGAGAGAGGGTGGGTGGAATAGAGAGCTTGTACAAAGACTTATGGTACGACCATTCTCCACGCTTCCAGAAAAGAAGGTGCAAACAATGGGAAGAATGGGGGGAAGAGGGGGGGGAGCAGAGAGCGGATGCAGAAAGGAAACATAGAGAGAGAAAAAGGGAGAGGCCGGGGGAGGGACAGGGGGGGGGGCGGGGGGGGTCTTACCAGGTTTCCTCTGACTTTCTTTGTACAAAGACACGGTATGACCCTTCTCCGGGTTTGCCGTCATGAACAAGGTTGGCTATCAAGTCGTACTTGGACTTCACTTTGTCACCGTCTTTTCCAGCTGGAAGAGGTAAGTAGTCCTTCAGTTCAAGATTCTTCACAGGAAAATTCACTGCAGCAACAGAGAACAAGCGTTGCCCAGCAGGCAAGAATGAAAATATCAGAAACATCAGACCCATGTTATCCAGCTTGCACTGCAATTCCACTCATCAGGGTAGCCCGGCAACTTGCGACTCCCATCAGGGTAGCCCGGCAACTTGCAACTCCCATCAGGGTAGCCCGGCAACTTGTGACTCCCATCAGCGTAGCCCGGCAACTTGCGACTCCCATCAAGGGTAGCCCGGCAACTTGCGATTCCCACCAAGGGTAGCCCGGCAACTTGCGACTCACATCAGGGTAGCCCAGTAACTTGTGGGGTAGCCTAGCAGCTGCAGTTGCGGTACCCCAGGACTTGCACGTGGCAGAGTTTGGAGAACAGAGAATCGGGAGAAAACGAAAACTGCAGAGAAAATAAAAAGGCTGGCAGCCCGGCTGCTGCCATCGAGGTACCCCGGGGAACTTGCACGTGGCAGAGTTTGAAGAACAGAGAATCAGGAAAAAACGAGAACTGCAGCGGGCCAGCTCTCAGTTGGTTGAGCACGTAACTGGCACTCAGGAGGTCGTGGGTTCGATATCCAACGTCGTCCTTTCGATTCCCTCGGCCTCCTGGGGTATGCTTCGGGTACACCAGCGGAGATTGTTGGCTTGGGCCTCCTGGCTGGTTGTGGAAGTGATCGGTTCTCTCCAGCTCGCGCCAGGTGTTAGGAGCTTGGGTACTGCTCCCCGCACAGAGCAGAGGTAGGTAGACGTAGACCCATAACCTTAGGTTAGCTTAGTTCTGGCTAGTAAATCTAAGGTAGCTTTAGAGCCTTGTGCGGAAAGGCTCTTGTATACCTTGCTTGTCTGGGATAGTAGCTGCTCTTCCTGAATAGATGTGTGGGTAGGGCATAGATATGGGTAGCTAGTGAGATGCGAGAGAGAAGAAAATAGGGTAGGTAAAAAATGCAACTGTTCCCCATATGAGGAGAAGAGAGCTGTATGCTTTTGCAGAAAAAAAGGCTTTCATTGCACACATCTCTCTCTCTCTCTCTCTCTCTCTCTCTCTCTCT